GTAATATATTGATTGATAACAAAATATGTCTATTTAAATATATTTCCTAATATTTTAATGAAAATATCTTAGAAATCTTAGAATTCAAGACATTTTTCCCAATTAATTATAACTATATTTTTGCTGGTACTTTTCATTTTATAGTTAAAGGGAAAAGTATCACATCCACACAAAATACAATTTAGATTAAGGATCATTACTAGCAATAGTCAGGGATATTTAATAATAGAAAAGTAGTCAATTTATTAGGAGACCTAATACTTCTAATTATTTAAATATATAATAACAGAAATTTAAAAACATAATGTAAAAGTTGATAGAATTTGAAGGAGAAATAAATAAACAAACTCGTAATTATAGTTGTAAAATTCAGCCTCTTCTGTCAGTAACTGAAAGAAGATAGAAAACAATAAAAATACAGAAACATTATTAACTGACTAGTGCACCAATAGAGCACTCTATGCAGTAACATCAGAATATATATGTTTTTCAATATAGACTATATTGTGCGTCATGAAATAAGTTTAAATAAATTTTAAATAATTGCAACAACAGAGTATGTGTTCTTTGACAAGAAATTAAACCAGAAATCAGTAACATATATAAAATTATAAATGTTTGTAAATTATCAATATATTTCTAAATAACAAATAGGCAAAAGAATAAATAATACAACAATTAGAAGAAAAATTGAACTAAATGGAAATAAAAATGCATTTCATCCAAAATTAGTGGTGGACTGCTAAGTCAGTATTTTGAGGCAAATCTATAGCACAAATGATTTTTAGAGGAAAGTCCTAAAATAATCAACCTAAGCTTCCACTCTAAGATGTTCTGTAAAGAAAAGAACATTAAACACAAAGCAAGAAGAAGTTAGATAATAATAAATTTTAGAGCATAAATCAAAAATCAATGACATATTAAACAGAAAACATCAGGGGGAAATGCAAGAAAAACAAAAGCTGATTAAAGAGATCAATAAAATAGATAAACCTCTCAGCAGACTAATTAAGACAAAAAAGGGTGTAGATACAAATTATGAATATCAGAAAGGAAATAAAGAAACATTACTATGGATCCTAGGACTACAAAGAAGTTATTATGGATAAGCATTTCAACAAATTGAATATCTTAGATTGAAAATATGAATTACCAGATGAAACAACACTCTTATTGTTTTTATGAGGACTAAATCCATTTTAAACTAGAAAGAATATTTACCATACTTACCTCAGTAATCATATTTTTGTTGATTCAAATATAGATCATATCTTTATTTGTTTGAATTTCAGGAAACTTTTCTTAAATTGATATATTTTATCAAATTATATCATACTTTTTGCTGATATTATAAAATAATATATGCTTGAATCTTTACTGAATACAGTTGGGACCTTTTAAACAATACTTTTCATAGGATAATATCAAGTAAAAAATAGATTTGCTAATTGAATATGGGGAGCCTTCTCTTATGATCCTTCTTGATTCTAACAATTAATTTTCTGGGTAAAAAATGCAATGCCAATAATGTTGTGAAGTATGAATCTGTCAATCTACTGCAGTTTTTCTTTAAAAAATCAATTCAAAAAGCATTGAGATGAAGCTTATATTCATTTAAAAAGTTACTTGGCATAAAATGATAATTCTAAAAATTACAAAGTATCTATTAAAAGTTACAATGACATGAAAGATTTAGCTAGCACAAATGTAACTGATTAATATTATCTGAAGTATATTCTCACAAAGAACTGAGAACATCTGCTTGCTCCCCTACTAGATCAATAGGTAAGACAAATCTGTAAATCATTGTTTCTCAAATGTTATTACCCCATCAATGCACCACAGAAGAAGGGATGGAATGTGGATGCGAGGAGAAACCTCTTATTTCTCATGCCTTTATAAACTTACTTGGGCTAAAAGTAAGACAAGACTGAACAGATTCTTCTGAAGTTCTACCCAGAAAGAGATGAAGGTAGAGGACCAAGTTACAGGGATAGAGAAGATACAAAGACAAAAGACCCAGTAGGCAAGGTAATTGAGAGGATATATAGATGCAGAGAAATGATACAAGTGTTGCAATTGACTGATACAGCTGGAAATTATTTGAATTTTTAAAAACATATTTTAATTTCTGGTTTTGAGCTGAGAAAACAGTGATTTAAGTTTGTAATATAAATGTTAAAAAATTATACATGCATGCATACTTTAATAATAATGTTAAATGTTAAAAAGTTATATAGCATGTATACTTTAATAATAATGTGCAGTCACATACCTATCAACCCTGCCCAGAGCTCTGTATTTTGATGTCAATAATAAACCATATTGGAGGAGACAGAAGCTTGCTGTGTATGATATTAGGACAAATCATTATTTGTTTAATGAAAACTTTAAGCAGGTATACTATGAAGTCTCTTAAGAAAATGATCTTGAAGTGTTGGTTGAAATTTGTATGTTTGAACAACCTTGTTTGCCCAAGGTATTTTTCCTCTGATACCTTGCCTAATATATAGTAGTTCACTTAAGGTTTTTTTTTTTTTTTTTAATTAGTAATTTAGACATTGTGGGAATTTATTAAAATGATTCCCCCTGTTGTAACTAATACTCTATTTCTATAATTATGTATTAATGATACTCTTGGAAAAGACAAAATATCAGAATTTTCAGGTCAGTAACTTATCATATCATGCCATTTTCTATATAAGTTATAAATCAAAGGAAATCTTATTTTGCAAAAACCTATTTTGATTTTGAGGGCATTTGAAATACTTGACATTTAGTTATTTTATTTCATTTACTTTACTTTTGGTACTGAAGATTGAAGCTAGGGTCTTTTTACAACTGAAGTACATCCCCTGTCATTCTTTTTTTCTTTCTTTCTTCTTTTCTTTTTAATTTCTTATTTTGAGACATTCTCACTAATTTGCCCAGACTGGCCTCAAACCAGTAATCCTCCTGTCTTAGCTATCAGAGTTGTTGGGATTACGTGTTTGTATCACCCCACCCTATAGGATGGACTTTTAAAATACTACATACCAGCAGGCTGTGGTGGCACCTGCTTGTAATCTCCCCAACCCCCACTTGGGAGACTAAGGCTGGAGGATCACAACTTCAAGGACAGCCTCCAAGCCTGTCTCAAAAGAAAAACTAAAAATTACCAGGGATATAACCTGGTGGTAGAGCATCCCAGAGTTCAATCCCCAATACCAAAAAATGTCCATCCTAACTTCTAGTCACTGTTTAGTACAGAGTCACTGTCCTACATACTATTGAAGTTTGGTTCTAAAAGATTTTACTGCTTAATTTTCTTCTATAAATTATAAATTTTAATCATTATCAAATGCAGACCTGCTGAATTATCTCAGTGACTAACTTGTTACTGATGTTTGCATTAAAAGATTTGGGTTGGTTTTGATGGAAGACAGCAAGTTTAGACACCTAAACTATGAGACCACTCAGTCTCCCTATAAATCAGAGGAATAGAACATAAGGGGAAATGGTATTGCTCATTAATGCCTTTTCTTTTTTTATTTGATAAGATATTTTATAATTTTTAACTTGGAAGACAAAGTGTAAGCAGACTGTAAGATGCTTTAGTAATTAAAGGGGGAAAAGGACATTCCAGGGGGCCTTTTAAATCCATTCTTCACAATTTAACTGAACAGTTAGGGTTTAAGAGGAATGCCTGACTTGTAGTCTAAGGCAGCAATTAGAAGCTCACACATTCTAAGTTCTAAATATGGCTCCTTCAGTGCTTAGGATGACCTTGGGGAAAGAACTTGGTCACTTAAAAGAAAGAAAGTGCAGGGGTAGGGGGGAAGCTATTTAACTAAATGTCAGTCATAGTGCTATTTGAAATTGAAGATAACAAGGAATTTCAGAGATACTTAACAAGGTCTGAGATTGTACCATTAATCAAATGAAAGTAAAAATATATGCAATGACACTAAGGTTCATGCAGAGAGAATTAAAAGACATAATAAAATATAAATTATTCTGACTAGCATGATGGCATCTCTCATCTTTTTTTATTCCAACTGCCAGTGAATACAGGTTCCTTGATTGACTGAGATCATCCATCTGATTGTCATTTGAACTGTGTACATTAAAATGATACACACATTTGAGAAACCATTCCCACAGAGGGCCTTAGACCTTCTTGCTACATAAAAATCTGAAATGTCCACTTTTTCCCTAAGTTTCTGGAGACATTTGTATACAACAGCCATCAAAAGCATATTTCTGCCAGGCAAGGTGGTATACACCTGTAATCCCAGTGGCTCAAGAGGCTGAGGCAAGAGGACCTTGAGTTCAAAGCCAGCCTCAGCAAAAGCAAGGTGCTAACCCTGTCTCTACATAAAATACAAAAAAAAAAAAGGTTGAGGATGTGGCTCAGTGGTCAAATCCCCCTGATTTCAATCCCTGGCACCCCCCCCCCTCCCAAATAGCATATTTCCACTATTATTTTAGGTAATTTTCAATTAACTAGAGTTTTATGTCAACCTCAGGAAGTCCTTATGGAAATAGAAGAAACATAATTAGAACATTAAAAGGAGTAGCCAGTTCTGAGGCTATTGTCCAAATTTTACTGGATACATATTTTAATAATTAAAACTATATAGTTCTTTCTAGGATTAGCATAAAAGAAGTATTTCTCTCAGCATGTCCAGGTGAATAGTAAGATCAAAGATGTTAGGCTTTGGGCTCTCCATCATCTCCCCGAATACACACAAAAAAACACAGAAGAAATTTAAGAGAAAGAAAAGAAAATACAGTCTCCTATACTTCAAGTATTTTTGTAAACATTATCTTGAATTCAACAGAACACTTGTCTATCCGCCAATAATTTAAAATTACCTGGTTGTCCAAAAAGCACTCCAGTAATACATTAAACATTAATGCTCAGTAATATTTTAGTCTCTTAACTTATGAAAATAGATAAGAAAGAAAAATAAGACTTCAAATAACATTTGAACCATGAATTTTATCAAATGTCTTACCATCAAATGTTAAATAAACTCTTGCTTGGGGCTGGGAAGATCCTTTTACACAGATAGAACAAATAAATACTCCAACCAACACGCAAATTGCCTGGAATGCCATTTCTTCAGATTTGCAAGTTAATATCCAAGGGAAAATACCTTTAAAAAGAGAGATAATGAGTTTGTTATGTCTCATTTCACATTTCAGGATTATAAAAAAAAATCTAGCAGCCCAGACAGAAAAATCTATTTGAATAAGATGCTACTGAACTTCTATAGTAATGCAAACAGTAGGAGGTGCTGTGACTTTGTTCCTCAGAAAGGAAAATTTAGATTTATTTGTGTCTGGAAGTCCTTGCCAGAAGAGACTTGGTTCATCTTCCAACAAAATAATGCCAGCATCAAAGCAGAACAAAGCAGAAAGGAAAAACTTACTGATTCTTAAAGGAAACCCTAATGTTTTAACTGATCTTTTCTAAAACTCCATTCTATTACAGTGACTAGAGAGTGATACCATAAAGTATTGCTGATGAAAACTCCCTCTCCCATACATAGAGTAGTAAAGAAATCCCACATTCATATGTACCCACTCACTCCCTTACTCATTAGCTCTTTAGAGTAATTGTATCTGAAATGGTGTTTCTACACATAAATTTATGTGTGCTCAACCCTTGTCTACTAAAATCACTTGAATCAATTATCTGCCAGTTTATTCAGATGACCAGGCAGCTGTTAAATGATGCAGATGAGATAGCCATGGACCGGTGCCAAATACAAACCAATGACCTAGCAGTGAGTAATCCAGTGAGCCTCGTATCCACCAAGGCACATTTTGAATAAATCAACCAGAAAGTGGGCTGTCAAAATTCCAAAAGATAAATCAAGGAGACAAGTATTACAGATTGAAACTATAGCAATAAAACTGATACATACTCTTAGCTAATGTCTAAATACCAGGGAAAATCAGGTAATGTTTTAGGACAAACCTATCACCACTCTAGTGGCCATAATATGCAAAATATACTCAGGACCATAAGAGAAAACCTATAATTTTACACATATCATAATTACACAATAAATGGCATAGCAGGTTAATCTAGAAACACATTTATACAGGTAACAACAATGCTGATCTGAAACATTATGTGGCTTTTTAAAATGAAATTTCTGTCATTAATTCTCTTCATTAAAGAAATGCTATTAAAAATTGAAAAGACTGCTCCATTAACACAGAAGAAAAAACAATTAAACCAAATGTGCAAACTTAAACAAAAAAATTATAAGTTGCTTTCATCGGTGGTGCATATGCTGTAAGAGTTAGGAATAAAATGTATGCTTCTACCACACAGATGGAGGAAACCCTAGAGATGTTTGTGTTGGTAATTTTCAAAAGAAACAGTTTCTTCCTGCTTCCACAACCTCTTCACCCTGTCATCCCTAAATTAACTTAGAAGAAAATTGATTTTATGGGTGACTTTCCTTTAGTAATTTGCCCCTTGGTCTGTTGATTTGATACTTAAAGGGAGGGGGGAGCTATTAATATGTTCAACCTCAGTAGGCTGATAATACTTACACTTTTTTTTTTTTTTTTGCATTTTGCTATTACCAGAATATAATCTGGATGTTTCTCTCAAAGGAACATATGCCATAAATCACAAAGAGTAATACCGAGAATGAAACAACGACAAATCAAATGAAGCTACTTTACAGAACAAGTGAGTTGACTGTTCCACCTAGTGATGAGAGGTGAAAGCCCAGCGTCCCAGACTAGCTCCCCGCGCCCCCTCCCCCAAGTATCTTACAACTTCTTCCCTTCAACTCAAGACGTGCTGCTTGGTGTTTTCACTTCTACTGACTGCAAACTAATAATAAAGGAGAATTCTTTCAAGTCCTCGCGACCAGTTTTGCCTTAGAAGGCTTTGTAATACTCAACTTTAAACTCCCCGCAGGTGTCACAGCCTAAAGAAACAGCTCAAGCCGGGCTCTCAGCGAGGGTAACGTTTCTCTGACAAACCGCGCGTGCTCTTAACAAAATGTTGGGACTCCAGCACACTCATGTATGAAAAGCCAATGCACAGACCCAAAAGTTAGATTTTGCTAAATCTGAAATTCTGAAAATAATGAATCCAGCTTACCGAGGTTGGAAGAGCTCAGCACGGAACGGTCACCAATTTACAACCGGAATGGATCCGCCAGTCTCTCCAGTCCTTTTCTCAGAAGACCTTAATTTCTAGAGCGTCCCAACGTGATATTCTTTTTTTTTTTTTTCCCCAGGTCCTCTGAGTTTCTTTGTACAGGAATCCTCAACCCTGTAGTGCCGTGGCACCCGGAGCCCTTCTCCGCGTCGCTCAATCAAGCACCTCGGAGTGAATGGAAAAGTGGCCGGGCGCAGGGGGCGAGCGCTCGGGTGTCCGATTACAGCGACGCGGCGCACGGCTGGGGCTGCCCCGGCGCGCCGCCCAGCCGGCTCGCATCACCGGCCCAGCGCACTCGGCGGCATCTCCACTGCCCGAGAGGCCCCACCCAGAGCGCGCCCGCGAGAGGGTGGCAGGGAGCCGCGAGGGCGGGCCGGGCGGGGCTGACCCGGAGCACCGGCAGCCCTGGAGATGCAGGAATGCGCTGGAGCAGGCTAGAGGACCAGCCCAACAACTCTCTCTTTTGCAGACTGAGGTGGGGTGAACAACTTGCAAAGTGCGCTCCCAGGTTTTTTGTTACCGGCTGCTCTTGGAAAGCACACAGGCATTACTTGGCTGTAAATATCAAAGTGCAAAGCAGTTTTTTGCCAGAGAAGGATAACTACATCCTTTTAAGGGAACGAGTTGTGATTTTAAAAGGGCACGAGTTTTATCCTTATCCTGCAGCAAAATTTCTAAACCCAGTCAAGATAAATCTACAATCTTGTCTAAGAAGTTTATCGCCCCCGCCCCCTTTAAATAAATAAATAAAACAGGCATCGTTTCCTATTGCATTTCCTTAATGTCCTGAAGGCAGTAATTCTGTTGACCTTCCTACAGTGATTCATATCTAGTACCTTCTCCTCCAGGATACCTCGGAAACATAACTAAGAAATGATTTCACAATTTTGTGGAGGAAGATTGTTCTGAAATAAGCCAAAAGATTGAGGCTTAAGTCTTTAGACATCAGCGATATGTTTCCAGCATTCCTTTCAGGTATACTCATTAAAGTCTGGGTCTGAGTTTGACGTTAAGTGAAAATTCTTTTCTCCACCACAATAAACTGAATGTTCCAGCACCCACAGAAAAGAGTTTTGGTCCCTATTAAATAAGCAAGCACTTGTTTAAAATCACCTTGAGCTAATCCAGTAGATGTCGCTGTATAGAGGGAACGTGGAATATAGTTCATTCACCTTATACCTTACAATTTTCTTTATAAAGTGAAGTAGAATCCTTATGTATCATAGGACACACCTCTGAGATTACACATAATTGCTCACTGGGACAGCTGAATGGAATCTTTGGTAAGAGGATGTGATGATTGAGAAACATCTTTCTTGTGTCTAAACCCCCTTTCTAATGTCCAGTACACAGGAATATGTCTCTGACTCTTACTGTTGAGAAACAAAGGGATCAAGTCAATAAGACCTTAAACTTAAGTTTACACCTTGCTACAATATTCACTTTATTGTGTGATCTGGAACCAAACTTATAGGATCTCTGAGCTGTGCGTTTAATCTGATTAAAAAATGGGCAAGGGATCTGAATAGGTATTTCCCAAAATGAGATGTATGAATGGCTACCAGATACTTGAAAACAGATACATAACTAATCATTAGTGAAATTCAAATTAAAACCACAGTGAAATATTACCTCACACCTGTTAGAACGGCTATTATCACAAAGACAAAAGGTAAGTGTAATACCCAGGAGGTATGCCTTGTTGGTGAGAATGAAAATTAGTACAACCATTAAAGAACATAGTAAGAGTAGTCCTTTAAAAATTTTTGAAAAATAGAATTACCATATGATCTAACAATCTCATGTCTGGATATTTACCTGAAAATTTTGAAATCATTTTGTTGAAAATATGTCTGCATTTCCATGTTCATTGCAGCACTATTCCAATAGCCAAGTTATGAATTAGCCTAAGTGTCAATCATGAAGGAATGAATAAAGAAAATGTGACACACACATGTATATATGCAATATTATATTATACAATGTGTTATATAGTATTCCACTACACAATGGACTACTATACAAACTTCTAAAGATAAGAAAATTCTGTCATTTGTTCCAACATGTATGGAAATGGGAAAACATCATGCTAAGTGAAATAGAACTAATACAAAAAATACAAATACCATATGTTCTCACTTATACATGTAATCTAAAAGAATTGAACTCATAGAAGAAGAAAGTAGAATGGCAGTTACCAGAGAGTGGGAGTTCATGGATATAGGAAGAGGAAAGTCAAAGACACAAAAATCCAGCTAAACGGGAGGAATAGGTTTGATGTTTGTTTTAGATCTATTAGTCAACATTTTGTCACTGTGACCAAAATACCTGACAAGAACAACTTTGAGAAGGAAAAGTTTACTTTCAATCATGGTTTCAGAGGTTTATCCCACAGTCAGCTCCATTGCTCTGGGACAGAGGTGAGGCAGAACATCATGGTAGAGGGGTGTGGTGGGGGAAAAAAACAACTCAATTCATGGAGACCAGGAGGCAGAGAGAAAAGGGGGAAGGGGCTTAAGAGAAGATGGACCCTTCTATAGCACACTCCCAGGGATCCACCTCCTGGTCCTGCCAACCCCTACTTGCCTACAGTTAGTTCATCCAAACTGGAATGGACTAATTAGGTTACAGATCTCATAATACAATCATTTGACCTCTGAATATTCCTGCATTAACACAGGAGCTTTGGGGAAACACCTCATATCCATACCATAATGAGACCAATTGTGCAGAATAGTAAATATAGCCAATAATGGAGTTCAGAACATATCAATATGGCTGAGTAAATTTTGAATGTTCTCACAAAAAAATTGTTAAGTATTTGAAGCAATGGCTCTGTTAGCTTAATTTAGCCTTTCCACGGTGTATTAAAAATCATGGCACCATACTGTTCCAAGTAAATAAATACAAATATCATATATCATATTTTTAAAATAAGACATTTTAAAAATCCAACTGTTTAAACATTCAAAAAAGTAAACTTAAGAATTCCAAAATAATATTACAAGTATAATATTAACGACAAAGTTATCTGTGTTTTTTAAAGACATTTCCAATTCAATGAATATGTTCTTTCAAAAATAATTTATATAGTAACAAATTATCTGGGGGATGATTAAATGCAATAAAAATGTAAGCAGACCCTTGGCATAACTTTGTAACAATGGATTGAACCCACAAAACATCTGACAGTGTTAAAATCCAGATGTAAATATAAATAAGCACGATTCTGGCTTCTCTGAAATCTGTCTGCAACTGATTTAAGATCTAGGTTATACACTGTCCACTGTTATCTTCCTACTGATCTCTGAGCTAGCATTTATAAAAATAAGGAGCAGGAAGAATTGTTAGAAATATGAGTGTGAGCATTAACAGATTTATATAATTGTCAATTTAGAAATGTGAAGCCACGAGACACCAATTAATCTACAAATCCACATACAAAATTTCTTTATACATTTTATTTTTAATTCTCTAAGAACTGAGATAAAGATATGCAAGACAAATGCTTGTGGAATTGTATATTTACAAGGTAGTTTAATTCCAAACCATGTTTTCCAAAATCCAGAGAATTAGTTCAGTCTCTTACACATACTCACAAAGCTTTGGGGTCTAAGACAAATAGTTTAGATTTAATCATAGTCTGTGAAACTCTTGCTGAGATTCCCTCTATCTTGCCTGAATAAACGTTCTTTCAATGTGCTTCTGGGATTTAATGGTATTTGCTTAGGCCTGAGACATTTACAGTTGGCCACACCTCAAAATGAATCATAAAAACACTGATAGGCATTAGCCAAGAAAGAGTCAGGCACAAGGACACAATCGGTGCTCATACTTACCTGAAATTTAAGCCATAGAGTGAGATATTAAAAGTGCCATTAGTGTTGCTAATAAGATTTATCTCTGCCTCTTTGGTCCTACATTGCTTAGAAGCCTAAAACACCTAGACAAAACCAGATTTATTTGAGAAGCATTGTAGCCAGTACTCCGTTTTTAGATTGTGGTCTTTGCCTCTGTCTTACTAGATAGGAAATGATGTGAACTAATTGAGGAAGCTGGGCTGGGAAAGTGGACACTAATCTATATCTCTGACTTTGTATCTCTTTCTCTGCTGCTACATATGAGGCTCTATGCATTTCTAATTGTAAAGTTCTTGGCAAAATAGTGACATTGGTTTGCTCTGGAGAAGGACACTAGCCAGAAAGAGAATTCTTATTGTTTGCCTTGTTCGGGAGTAGTAGCACACCTAAATTTAGAGGCTACTAATTGCAAAGTTTGCCCTCATTATTATGTTTTGGAGAAAACAACCAGCTTAAAATACTTCAGAGCACTGCATCTTTAGAAAGTGTGTGCTTTCAATGGTCATTTAGTTTATGTCACCCTTACTTCTCCTTGGGTTACATTAGCAGCTTGGAGACCAAGCCAGTCAAACGGGTCTGGTATGAGAATCTATATGTGGAATTGCTATGTGATAGGCTGTAGTATTGCCTCTATCAAAATATTCTTTGTTTTTCAAAAGAATGAGTGTTATCTCTACTTTAATTTTTAATCCATGGCTAATCTATGTCCCTGACTTTTGATCTCCTTCTCTGTTGCTATGCACTAGGCTCTATGCTTCTTCAATTGTAGGATTCTTGGCAGTCAACAAAATAAACTAGTGACAGTGGTTTGCTCTAGAAAAGGGCACTAACCAACAATAATATTCCTTATTGTTTGCCTTGTTATATCTTATTTAATAAGAAAAAAAGGTGAATGCATATTACCAAACTCAAACTTTAGTCTTCAATATACCTTTATACACTTTTCAACATCTTAAATACAGTAAAAGGCAATATGTTCAGACTCAACCAGAATAAGAGTATATTACCTCCATTTTTAAATATCACAGTATTTCACTTATAAAGTAGAAAAGTAAAGACTTTTTTTTTCAAAAGAGTCAGTTAGTGATTTTGCTTCTTTAGAACAAAAATTTCATATGTGCATGACAAAAATTGAATATGTGTGGCAATCATTCACACTGTCATCATTGCAGGGGTAAAATGTAAACTCTGTATCTGTTCTATCTTTATTAGAATATTTCGTGGAAAACCTCAGTGAGGGTGGAGAATATGTCTTTGAGATTAATGATATACAACTGCAGTTGCAAAGTATCCCATAGTCATTTAATAAATAAGGCTTCACAGTTGAACATATGCACACCACCCACAGTCACAGTCTTTTGAGAAAAACCAACTGCTTTTATGGATCTGTTGTATCTAAAACTCTCTTTCTCTTCACCTGGTAGTACAAAACCTTTTCTAGTATCTATTTGCACAGGAGAGGCACGAGAGGGCTGTGTATGTGCCTCAGATTGTCAGGTGGATGCCAGGAGGCTCAGAAATAATAGTCAGCTAGAGTAATGAATGCAGTGTTGTTAGTTATGGCTAATTGACTCCCATCTACAGCTGTTAGCATGGTCAAAGGCCTTTT